TTTCGTTTCGTCGTCGTCAACGGAAGCTGCGTTTGTAAAACCAGTCTTGACGTCTTCTTCGGCCCATACTTTGGGCTTGATAATGGGCTTTATATACTTTGTTATATAAATTTTTTGGGATGTCTCTTATTTGTTTTGATATATAAAATTAAAATGATTTTTTATTTTTCGACAAAACTTTAGTATATATTATTGTCATGAACTTGACATTACATAATCCTTACGTAAGTCACCAAATAGAATGATAGTTACAACTTGAATAGAAAATGGAATTAGGAAGTGTTTGTTGAGCACTTGAGCTAAGCAATGAGTAACTTCAATTGAACTTCGTGCAATGTATATGAATTCGTGTCGGTGAAAGGCTGATGTCCACCTTGAGATGTTGAGACTCAGATTATGGATATAGGAAAATTTGGATTCACCATTAAGATGTTTGATTACCAATATTTTGTCGAAAAGGATATATCAATATTTTGTTGTAAATAAGCATCTTTTTTTTGTTTTTGTTAAAGTTGAAAATAAGCATCTTAAAATTTTATTTTCTTGATTCGGACAATTCTTTCCTTCAAATACCGGATCATATATGTAGATTACAGCCATACCAATGAACAATGTTGATTACAAATGTGACTTTCATTCATACACGACAAAACCAACCAACTAAAAAACCCTTAAGATAAAAATAGAATAATCCAATGTTTTTTCTTCTTTCCTTTTTTGTGGTAGAAAAAATAATTCCACAAACCCCTTTGTCATTTTGTTAAACCAATGAGAAGCCAGAAACAAAAAAAAAAAAACTATATAGATGAATTAAGTATCATAATATAATATAATGTAGTAAGTTGAGAAAAGAAGTGTGAATATGAAAATATAGGATTATACATTAAAGTGAAGCGGGGAAGGTGGCAGAGGAAGAGAAAGAGAAGATCTCGTCAAGTGTCCCATTCATAGAGTCTCTGCATTGAAAGTCTTGTTGCTTTGTGATATGATCCATTGACATAATCTCTGCGTCGCTCATAGAAAGCTGAGGGAAATCTTGAAGTTGAAGAGGAGGAGGATAATATGGAAGCTGATGATGTTGAGGTACGTAGTTTGAAAATAAATGATCATGGTGATCGTCGAGAAGAGAAGATGAGAAATGAAGAGCGAAAATTGATGAGCTATTTGCTTCGTCTAGAAGAATTCCTTCTGATGATGATGTCTCCGCTGATGCTATCTTCAAGCTCTCCATGTCTTCCTCGCTTTCTCTTTCATTCCTCTCTTCACATTTTCTCCAT